ATGCTGGCTGGGGAATTCTGGGAGTTGAAGTCTACTCATCTTAAAGTGGCCAAGTTTGGACTACACTGAGTTAAATAAATAAAAGCTCTGAGGTTGAAGCCCATGGCAAATTTCACCCATCAACTTGGAGAGGGCAGACAGATGGTGAAGATATGCCCTTCCACCCTTCTGATTTGTATCATTTGTGTTAACCTATCCCACTGAGGAGTAATTTCAGATTAGGGTTGTACTCCAGTATCTATTTAGAGAACCACGTGCTGCTTTTCATTGTCAACAGAAATCCCAAAGCTGTTTTGCAAGGAAATCCTGTGCAATCCAAGGCCGGCCATCCCCGCGTGAAACAAAGCTTTCTCTTCCTACAAAGGTTGATCTCGTTCCATGGAGGTAAGAGTACAATCACGTTAGAAGGGGCTGCTAGAGGTAGCTGCTTTGCCCATCCCTGTTACAAGACCAGTGCAACTGGAATTAGTTAGTGCAATTAAGCCTATTGGTCTCTGTGTTCGCAGAGATTAACTGGCGACAGATAATTTCCACGGCACTTCAATCATTCTGCTCTCAACTTGGTCTTTCGGTCGAATACAATGTTTTCATTGGAAGGGAATGTATCATTTTAATATAAATGCAAATGGAAATGGGCTTTCAGTGACTAATAGAGGTGTTTAATCCAATTTGTTTACATAAAAAAAATTAATTCAGTTTATTCATGGTTGTCAGTGCAGAACCATAGCTCCCGAGCTCAGAGGAGTTTGATTTGTATATTTTATTTAGAAAAGCCTGTTTACATCCAGACTGAGCCTCTTGGGGGTCTAGAAAAAGAGATTTACAGGCAAAGAAAATGCCTTCTGAGATTGATCGTACATACGTTTCCCAGTCAGAATTTATCGCAACACAGTCCATGGGAAAAGCTAAAGCAAGAAATTCTCTGTGCATGTTTTCAAGGGCTTGCAAGCTAAAAACATTTATACTTCTAACCCATAAAGAAGGTGACATCTTTCAGACACATCCTAGGATCAATGGAGCATAGCTGTCCATGCCAAAGGTAAGAACAGCCATGCATTTAGCACAATTATTTCTTTCATCCAGAGGGTTCCATGCAGGGTGGGGTGAGGGATGTCAAAATCTGAAAGGTGGTAGACAGGATTAGCAACCACAGATAGATTTTCTCCATGATGATCTATCCCTAACCTGGTCCTTCAGCTCTTCCAGCAATGCACCCATTGCTCAAGTAAACTCAACAAGAACAGACTTGGTTAGTATTTAGACAGAAGACCACCAGAAGATCCACCCCATTAGGCTAAACCAGGAAGTTAGGGGGGAAAATCCTAAAAAGCAATGGCAATCCATTTTGGCATTGTTCCCAAGAGAGCCCATATAATCACTTCAAGTCAAGCTGAAAGTGAAAGAGGCTTTGTGTCTATCTGTGTCATGCTAAATATTTGGTAGCAATTTGGTCCTGGGACCATCCTAATTATTTGGAGGTATATACAGCCTTGGGGCTACAGATTGTGCATTTCTATACCAGGTGATACATTATGGTCCATGTTGAAGAAAACATGATGATAACAAGGGAATTGGGAGAAAGGCAATACTAACCCTTGGCCAATTTTTTCAAACCGTGTGTATTTCTTCTTCGGGTCTCCAACACTCACAATACTTCCTAAAATAACCAAGAAAGATAGACCTTGGTTAAAATATATAAAAAGGCCTAGACAAAAGATAGTATACAATTCCCAAAGAATTCTGGAAAAAAGAAAAGTTGGGTATTTTGGGCAGTCTTGAGAACAGGAAGGATAAAATATTAAGGTGAAGTTGAGGAAGCATTAGAAAACAAATCAGTCATAACAGAACTACATAAAAGGTCTAGAACATCACTGAATAATCTAAAATGGCAAAATATTTATTTTGGTGCTTCAGTTTCCAAATCCGCACCTTTGGAATGAAATCTGAAGCCGTGCGCAGTCTTAGACAAATAGCACTGCCTGTAAGTTTGGCTAAAGAAAAATAAATTGTGTAACTGATAGATCATTCTTTCTTCTCTGGCTGTTGACTTTATATAATAAAAGTATTTTACAGGAAGTGCAAAGGAAACTCACAATTCCAAATTCTTTCTATACTATCATCCCCCCCATATTGGAATATTAATAGTTTCACAGTGTGATTGATAATTTGTTTCCCTCTGAATCTCCAAAAGGCCCACTGCTTCTCCTTCAAATAAAAAACTATGAAATCCAACAAATTCACCAAATCTCATGACATTTCTGCCCTCCTACAAGATCTGACAAAAGGACCTATCATTACATTTTGCATTTTTGATTGAGAGTTTATGTGATTTTGGCAATGTCACCCAGGATGTACCCAATCTCAGTGTTTTCACAGAACAGCTCATGAAGTATCTGAAGAGAAGGTGCATATTTTGTGCTCTGGTAAGACTTTGGCTTTGAGTAAAGCATTCCTGGCAGAAGGTTATGAACTTAACATCAACTAAAATTCTTACAATTAATTCAGAAGCGACAGTAGACTATGATGACATCATGGTAGGTGTCAAGAGATTAAACCATGCAATAAATTTGATTAAAATGAAGTTGGGAATGGAAAAAATCTGCCTCCTGGATATATTGAAGGCTGAGATAAAGAGAGATTTTGTCATGGACTGGAATCCATTGCAAAATGGCCTTTTAAAAGCTGGTGTCTGATCTATCTAGACCAGTGTTTCTCAGCCTTGGCAACTTTAAGATGCGTGGACTTCAACTCCCAGAATTCTCCAGCCAGGATGCTGGCT